AGCACAAAATGATTTTTTCGTTTACAAATACACGGAAAAACCGCACGAAAAACTGTAACAGGAACTAGACATAAATTATCACAAAAATATCTAAAGTTCCTCACAATTTTGAAGCCTGGAACCATCTGAATTCTTGAATTGAACTGTGCAGTTTTGTCGGATTTATCATTTCTCTTTCAATGAAAATTGGCAATTTTGTGTTTTCTGTTTGTTTTTGCTGTTTTCATTTCATACACATATTCGAATATACCGTATAGGTTTATTTTATGGTTACACGCTCATTTTTATTTTTCTTTACTTTTATTTTTTTTTTATTTTTTTTATTTAAGTCGCACTGGGTGGTTTTAAAGTTTACAAGAAAACACCCAGATTTTGCTCGAGACATTTTGCTTAGCAACAAAACTGCACAAGAAAAATTTGGAAGACATTTGGAAGAGCTAGGTGAAACTGGAAAAATTATTGAAAGACGCAGTTCCTGATTTGCTGTTGCTGTTTTGCTGTTCTACCACGAAACAAACGGGTACTAGGTATAGTGCCGGTTTGGCTCTATTTATTCTGAATACATCAGGATGAGTAAAAAAGAGGAGCCGACCGGCTAAAACTAGAGTAGGTATGCTAAAACTAATCCACCTCTTAATTTGAATTTTGGTGCGACGCGCCGGAACCGCTCGGAAGCACTACTCGGCAGGTTGTCTGGGATTTAGATATTTTGTCTTCAAAGTTAAGGACACGCTTGATAAACCTGTGTTCACTATTCTATTTTTCCTTCGTCTCGAGCATTTGTCTTACTACATTTTCTGGGGGTTTCACATTCATTGAAAATAGTAAATTTTCCAAAAAAGGCTCTTTTGCCCCGATTCCTTTCTTTGAGTCGCGAATACTCGAATTCGCAAAAAGTTGAGTCATCAAACCTAGAAATACTTGATTATATTAACGATTCAAAATACCTACGTTACAGTTACGCGCCACGTGCCAGCACACTCAGCAGCATTTTAAAATCATCCACAACGATTATCATGCATGATTACAATAACAAAAAAAGATTTCGCTACCGGGCATAAATCAGCCGACTGACACTAAATTATTTGTACCCCACCTATTGTGCTCTTTCTGAAGCGCTCGAGTCGTTTGTTCTGCAACACGCTTTTTAATTTTCGCTCATCTGATTTACACCTAATTTATGTAAACGAGAGCAAAATTGGTGTCGTTCTTTGTTCGCACGAGTGCGGATGCAAAACAGAATAAGAATAAGCCGAGTCAGCCGCATATTTCACCGCTCTCACCCTTCACCCTCCGCCGTGCCATTCACCGCTCAAGCTGCCTAACCAAACAATTATCATCCATCGCAATTATCATCACTTAATGTACCGTTTTAGCCTTACTCCTCGGAGGAGACCTATTAAGAATGAGTCTTTTAAACACCTCTACTGTAGGCCAGTTTTCGAATTAAAAACATTCGCTGCTGCAATCCAAAGACGATATTCAAGACAGAATTTGACGTTAGATTTTCAAAAAACCAAAATTTTTTAAAATGGCAGCCGGTTAAAGTTCAACATGGCCGAAAATTGGCATCTCGGTTGTTTGCGTATGGATTTGCCTGAAACTTGGAACCCATGGGTATTTGGGCATGAGATTAACAAAGAAATTAGATTCCAAATAAAAAAAAAAAAAATCGGCCATATTGACAATTTTGGGTTTTTTTTTTTTTTTTTTTTTTTTTTTATTTTTTATTTTTTTAAATCTAACGTCAAACTCGCTTTTCTCCTGTTAAAGTACCCTTCAGCACCGAGTTTTAGGCAAATCCATCGACAAAAAAACCTAGGTGTCAATTTTCGACCATCTTGACAATTAACCGGCCGCCATTTTGAAAAAGTTTGAGATATTGACTTCGATTTTGCGCGAAAAGTTAGCTTTTTTCCTCCTCTTTCGAACGAGGTATCACAAGAGGGGTCTTCCAATTTGAAAATAAAAATTTGGGGTTCGTTGTCCGTTACCCCCCTCCCTCCCCAAGGGGGACCCCTAAAAATGTTAGGGGGGTCGAAAAGAAACCCCGTTGACCTACGAACATCCTCCAAGTTTCAAATCTCTACCTCAATGAGAGAATTTACAAGTGTCTGAAATTTTTTAAATTCCATGTTTAAAATGAAACAGCTAACAAAACTGAGCTCGAGGATATCCTTGGTTTGTAAATTGAACAGTAGTTATAGGAGGAAATATGACAGAATAACCTAATTTGCCGAAACACATGCATTTAAATGGAAAAAGCCGCTAGATAGCGTCACAAGGCGGCACATTTTCTCAATTTTAAATCTATTTTCCTCCAATTTCCCATTTCAGAAAAAAAAAAAATATGAAAAATACTGCGGAAACAACCTGCTAAGCATACTTTCAGATGAAGCAATAACATTTTTGTGTGCAAATTATCCCATTAGATAAACACCTAGATGGGGGGGGGGGGGCTTTACTAACACCTTGTATGCTTTTTACATGTACAGTTATCAGCTGATTAATTGTATGATGTCCGTACGGTCTCGTTAAACGAACTCTCAAACATCGCTGTATCTACACCAAACGCAGTGTTATACAGGATGATCCAAAAGTCCCTTCCACCCCCTCTAACTTTTTACCTAATTGAGGTAAAGATTTGAAACTTGGGGGATATTCCTAGGTCAAAGGGAGCTACTTTTTGGCCCCCCCTGGGGGGGCAACGACCCCCAACTTTTAATTTTCAAATGGGAAGACCCCCTTTGTGATAGCTCGTTCGAAAGAGCATAAAAAAAGAAAACTTTTCGCGCAAACCCGAAGTCAATATCTCAAACCGTTTCAAAATGGCGGCCGGTTAAAGTTCAAAATGGCCGAAAATTCACACCGGTTATTTGTCGATGGATTTGCGCGAAAATCGGTTTGAAGGGGTATTTTGACACGAGAAAAACGAATTTGACGTTAGATTTTAAAAAAAAAAAACCGAAATTTCCAAAATGGCCGCCGGTTAAAGTTCAAAATGATGAATTGTCCAGTATGGCAACTGTTGTGTTTTCTTTCTTTCTTTCTTTTTCCATGTAAATTTATTACTATTATACTGCCTTCTTTAGAGGTGTAAATGGCCTTAGGTGCTAAAGCACCGCTTTAAAATAAAATTATTTTACTACTACTACTTTCTTTCTTTCTTGCATGACCATAATCTAATATGCAAATTTTCTCGCATATTAATATATATTGTAATATACTTAGAAAAGCTGATATAAATGGTTGAGTGATTAAGAAAAGAAATGCGTTGCTGTTATAATTATTGTGTTATTAGCACTGAAGCAGCATTAGCGCTGTTATAATTATTGTGTTGCACTAGCCTGTTATTGCTATTGTGCCAAAGAGGTAAAATCAACTTAAAGGGGCCCGCATTGGACCAGCCATGGTAAGAATCGTGAAAATAATCAGGGAAAAACAGAAAAAAAAAGTACATCAATGGTGAAAAAGCGACTGTCGTGCACAGCGCCCGCTTTTGCTCGATTTTATAATTCAGTATCTTTAAGGACGTCTAAACGCAACAGTTTTCACTTTCACGTAAACACCTAGAACTATTCTGGCAAAAAGTTAAGAAACTTCTCTATGGAATCTTTGGTGTATTATGCCGAGATAATTTATGTCATCGTCAGCTTCCATCCACAGGGCCGGATTTACCAATAGGCTACATAGGCTATAGCCTAGGGCGCAACATTTTGAGGGGCGCAAAATTTTTGAGAATGTATTCAAAACCCTGGTAAAAATTGGAGATAAGAGCTGCGTTTCAAAATACCATAGGAATTCTTATAGCCGGCTAAAGAAGGCAACAGAAAATCATATATCTGGCTGTAGGATGCGGAGAAAATCATACGGCCGGGCTATACGAAGCGATAAAAAAATATACAGGCGGGCTATAGTTCCTATAGTCGGGCTTTACACTTAATCGCCTGGCTGTTGCTTTTTCGCCATCGATTATAGAAGGCTATAAGAAATTGTGTAGAAATTCGTGTGCTTTGTAAATCCTTAAGTTTGTACGGAATCACCTTAATATTCACAAAACACACATTATATTTTCCTTTACTACATATTTTTTTTCATCAATTAAAATGAGAATAATCCATACAGAGTGTGCAAACATTTCAAAGTTATGAGTTGGAAAACGTTGACTCCACGAGCTTAAATATTAGAGCCTAACACAAAGCGAAGCGGCGGCGCACTGGCGCCTTCAAACCTAACAGGGATACTTCACGCATTGCGCAATGCGTGAAGTGCGCCGCGCCGCGCCGCAGCGTACCACGGCGCTTGAAGCAACTATTTCACACCAGAGGTATTGAACAGTATCATACAAAATTGCAGGCGCTCCAACATGTTAGGAATGGCAGGCATCCTTCAAAAGTACGGAGCTTTCCTCGCAAAATAAATCAAGATACTACGGCCAAAAAAGAGAGCGGTAGTCCAAAAACTCACTAAGTCCTAGCATCCGTAATTAGTAACGTTTAGCATACACTTTATCGCCAGACTGTTGCTTAGTCGCCATCGACTATGAAAGGCTATAAGAAATCGTGTTGCCGGCTATAGAAGCTATTGGAAATCTTACAGCCGGCCGTAAGTCTATGGTATTTTGGGACACAGATTCTACAAATTGTGGTTGACAAAGGTGTTTTTTTAAAGGTGAATTTGAACATTTTCCGGACTCCTAACATCCTTCTTCTGATCTGGAGGGGAGGGGCGTCTGGGGGACCACCCCCCCGCCCCCCACGAGAGCGCCTACTTTTAGGGGCGCCACCCTAGGTTTAGCCTAGGGCGCTAAAAATGTAAATCCGGCCCTGTCCATCTACTTTTGTTATACATCTGATCTGGGGCTACCTACTTTCTTTCAATCTAGACAAAGAGTTTATCTTTTTAATTTTAACCCTCCCCGGATTCGTGTCAAGTCGTCTAACGATTGAAACGAAGTAGGAAAGTACCTGTAATGACTAAATAAATGGACGGAAACTTACAGAACAACTACCATATCAGGGGTAACCGATCACGAAAGGTAGGCACAGCCGCGGGTAACGATGAGTCTTCTTACGAGTTGTCGAACATCAACCCGGGGACCAAGAATAATCAGAAGAAAACAGAGCACAAGGTCAACGATCCAAAAACAACGACGTAAAAACACGTGAAACTTAGCACTTCACTTGACAGGTAAACGTTAGCACTTCAGCCGAGGGCTCCCTACGAACTGATCATTTCTGAGTTGTCGAAGTCCACCTCAGATCTCTCCCGCCTGGAGATTGGGGCCGCTACACCGGGGGATCCTCCCTCTCGTAGGAACGCACCAATCCAGGCCCACTCAAGCTCCGCCCAGTTATAACCAGCAAATGAGCACCAAGCTCGTTGCATGAATGTGTGTCGTTGAGCTCTGTCGCGCTTGTGGCCTCAGCTGAGCTCGTATCACACTTTCCAACATCTTTTATGACCCTAATTTCGAGCGGATTAGATGACGGATTGAAACCTGCGAGCATTGCTCGTGAGAGAAACAGCCCGGTGATTTGAATAATAAAAATTAATGTTCAGTATTATTCTTGCTCGCTCGCTCGCTCGCTTGCTAATGAGTTTGGCCCCGCAAAATTTAATCTGCGAGGGAGTAAGTAGTTGTGTAAAAACTCAAAGCTTTAAAAAAATGTCATCACACTAGGATTTCTCTCTGAATCGCGCTGGAGAGGACAATTGGAGGTTCGACTGCGGCAGACAAAACTTTGGGTAAAAAATCTCCCACAAAACACGATTAAGTTGACCGAAATTTTCTTGAAACAATCATGGTCGAAACATGGCTACAGCCATCAGGGGCGGACTGGTAGTCGAAAACTTAGGAGGCGACCTAGATTTGGGAACCCCTCCTGTCGTTGGTGGGAGGGCAGGGCCTCTCTAAGGGGCTCGGGTCCCCCGGAAAATTTTGAAAATTTCACACTTTTTTAACGCAATTTTAAGTATTATTGGAGTCAAATTCTAGAGTATTTGAACTTCAAAATAACCCATGCTCAGGATTCTTCGGGGGCCCCTTCATCACATAAGCTTCAGGTTACCTTTCATGTCTCTTGGAGACAAATCAAGGATTTTGGGGCCTTCCAGTGACTTAAAATGATCTGAAAACTACAACATTACAGGGAATAAAACGATGACTCGAAAAAAATTCGCCGCGGGGCGGGCCCCTTCGGGACCTCCGCGGCATATTTTTAGGAGGCGATCGCCTCCCCGCCCCCATGGCCAGTACACCCCTGACTCCAGCTTGCACATTACCCCACTGGCCAGGAGCCATTGAAACACTCATCATTCATTGATTTCACCTTAACCTTCTCTTGCCATCCTCTCCTAAGCCACCGACTTTCTGCAGACACGCAATACTTTAAGAAAGAGATATGAGGACTTACATGTAACAATAGCGGATGTCGAGTTTTCACATTTGTGAGAAAATCGCGTTTGAAGTTTTCGAAGCTTTGCACTTTGCCGCCCGTAGAAACGAGAGGATTCTTATAAAGATTTTCATGAAGAGCAACTCTTCCTGTAAAAAACGCACGTTTTACGATCTATGCAAGTGAAAAATTGAAGAAGTAACAGCGATTTGCATAAAATGTGACATCCGCTATTTTTACTGAAAACACTTTTTTATGCATGAAACAATGTTTTCAGTAGGTATGGGTATAAGGCTGGTGAAACGACTGAAATGAACGAAAAGTATGTCAATGCTGAGTCATTTAATCGAATTGAACAAAACACTAAACCGTCTGTAACTTCTACATAAAAAATAAGGAACAAATTGTAAAATCAGTCAAAAACTCATCAATTCTGGCAAAACGGTCCCGATACGTAGGTATCATTTGAGTGTCAGCTGCAGCCCGTAGCCGGTGCGCGGGCAGTTATCACAAGTGTATTAGAAACTCCGAGATGTCCTGCCGCGCCGGCCGGGGAGAACTGAGAACAGTGGATTCTCATCCGCTGTTTTTACAAATAACATGGTTTTTACTGTTCATATCTCGCCGAAAAATTACGCTGGAAGTCTGAAACTTTGCATTCTGAAACTTTGCATTCTTAAGGGCTCCAGAATTCCAAAAAAGGCGTTTGTTTTGAAAATGACAGATGTTAACATTAATGAAACCGCTATTGTTACATATCGACGGTGTAAGTCGGCAATCACATAACTCGATTTTTGACGGTTTTCAGTTAGCTGCAGAAATGAAGTGTAGTAGATGCCCTTTACCTGCTATCAAAATATTTCAGTCGAAAAAAATCTGGAAGTCACCTAAAAACGTAGAACTCAAAACACATTGCGTTAATTCCAATAACACATAACTCGTGCCGTCGCGCCGCATTTTCACACAACGCGCGCTCTCCCGGGAAGATCGTGAACAGTTAAGGAGAGAAAATTTAAAGTTAGTACGTCACGGAATCTTCAGAAAACAAAAACATTGTTATTGTTTTAACATTTAACATCTAAGATCCGACGGATAACTGAATAATCGTCCGTTTATTTTTATCTTCATTTCCTTTTAATTCGTAATTCGACGGCGTAAGTCCGCAATCACATAATTATCTCGTTCACGGTGTCTGAAAATCTCCGCCTCTACGTTATTTTTTTTAAGGAGAACCTCGACTCATTTGACATCATTCCTTGCAGTTTATACAGATTTTTCTTCGCATAGAGAAGAAAACTCACGGCAGTTTTAAAGAATTGCCGTTGAGTAGTTTTCTGTTTAAAAAATGAAGTATGACAGGAAGTCTGCAACGTCGTAAACCGAGTTATGTGATTGCCGACTTACGCCGTCGAATTGTTTTCCGGTGTCATTCTAAAGATTCGCTACCAATTAAAGTTTGTTAAAAGGAACTTTAGGCTACTTTTAAAGTGAAAGGAGTCTTATTCAGTCTTTAATCAGTCAACATCGGCAAAGAATAGGTTTGAATCAGTAATTCGCCAACCACGTACCTATCTCAGAATTCAATGTTGGACCTTCCTAGGTTCCACAAACACATAAGTCGGTTTTTCGGTCATTTCTCCTGACAGACGAGAATATTATTCAAAATGATGATAGAGTCTTATAAAACATCTTATCCTTGCTGTCTCTAAGAATTATTTCCCCTCTACCTTCAAAAATGAGGAATGTAGAGAGTTTTTTCCCTCCCCTGAAAAATCGCGTTTTCCGAGTTAGGTATGTGATTGCCGACTTAGGTACACCGTCGACATATCGACGGTGAAACTACCAAACCACGTATCTCGTTTGCGGTGTTTAAAAATCTACGCTCACATTTTATTTTTTTTATATAGACCAAATCAATATCATTCCTTGAAATTTTCACAGAATTTTCTCCGCATGAAGAGGAAAAATCACAGAAATTTTTAAGACTGGACGTTAAGTAGTTTTTCATTTAAAAAATGAAGTATGGCAGGAAGTCTGCGACGTCGCAAACCGAGATACGTGGTCTGGTACTTTCACCGTCGATATGTCCTCATACACGTAGGTGCGCGCTCATGCGGAGGCCAGGCAAACTCAAATTTATTTTCTCTTTCTTCTCTGAAACATTCTATTTTGATTCCCTAGTAAAAGTGAGTTGGCCAGACGTCAGGCTATGTTTCATAAACTACCCTGAGTCAGACTGATTCAGGCTGATGTCAGAGTGATGCCAGCTTGAATCAGTCAGTCTCAGGGTAGTTTAGGAAACATAGCCCGACGTATGGCTGACTCACTTTTACTCGGGTTGTTACCCTCCAGCTTCGCACAAGTGAGTTTACGGCGTTACAGATTTCCTGCCATACTTTCCTTTTGAAAAGAAAACTAAGTACTAAAAGTCAACTCTTTTAGACTTTTGTGATTTTTCTTCTCTGTGCCAAAGATTTTCTTCGAAACCCTTAAAAATGGCGTTGACTTGTTCTCCTTCAAAAAAATAAAATGTGGGCGGAGATTTTAAAACAACGTAAACGATACCTATACGTGGTTTGGGAATTTCATCGTTAATATGCCATTCTGTCAAAACATGGAAATTCATGTTTCGATCTGATACCTCTCAACTTCGGATTTTTTTCGTTTATAAGCATATATCTCCTCCCCCCCTCCCTAACCAATATTTTCGACGTAAAGAAAAAAAAAGTTCTAAGTGTCAAAAATATGCGGGGTTGTAAACGCTATTTACCGCTTATAAACGCTTGTACCGTATGGGGGACTGTACTGTCACAGGTTTAGCAATCCTGCGGACCCCAGCTGGTAGCCCCTGCCTCAAAGGGGGTGGGTGGACAGGACTCTTAGCTGTGGTGAAAGCAACCTATCTAGGAGAGGCAACTCCGAAATCGAACTCTGGCCCTCCAGGTTGGGGGTTGGGGCATCGGGCTGACTCCCCGATCCTCGGAAAAAATATACAATGTCAAAAACCCTAACCAAACAGCCTCAGTAACCATGCATGGAAAAAAAACGGACTCTTCGACTCAAACTAAGGAAAAGGACACTGAATTTTGGAACTTGGAATGTCCAAGGGATATCAACGAAATTGACAGAGGTTGTGTCGGAGATAAAGAATCACGGGGTGGACGTATCAGTACGAACAGAAACCAAGAAAAAAGGCCACGGATCTGAAAGTTTAGGAGATTACGACATGTTTTTCAGTGGGGTAGGTAAGGAACAACGGGCTCAGCAGGGTGTTGCAATTCTCATCCGGAAAACCTTGCGGAAGTGCATTAACAACTGGGAAGCTGTGAGTCCGCGCATACCTAATCAAGATGAATCTCACGGTGTGCGGGCACAGAATTGCACTACTTGGAGTGTACGAGGTGAATGACGATGCTCCTGTGGGGCTAAAAGACCAATTCTTTGAACGACTAAATGAAGAAATCGAGCAAATTGGAACCACGAGGGAAGTGCTAATCATGGGAGACCTAAATGGAAGAACGGGTAGTAGGAGGGGTTGTACGGTGGTTGGACCATATGGAGAGGAAGTTGTGGATGATAGCGGTATCCGAATCATCGATAGCTGTGATCAAAATGATCTAAAAATTTTAAACGGATTCTACCAGCGTCGCGACATTCACGAATACACCTGGGTGCAGCCAACGCGAGGTTTGAGGTCCATTATTTATCCTCAAACATAGGTCCGAATGCCATTCTTTTCCTGAGTATTTTCCCGGTTGCCCTTTTTCCAATCCCTCAAAAGGAACATCATTATCAGGACTAATATTTGAGTTGAAGCGTCCGATCTCCCTGCTCGATGTTCATCGAGGGCCACCCCCATTTTGATTTACCGTTCCTGTTAAATTTATTGA